GTATCCATAATTTAATACTAAGAAAAAAAATTTTTCTAGTAAATAAATATAATTCATTTGATGTACAAAAATATATTGAAGATTATTTGGAATAAAATATTCAATCACCTGTTCCAATACTTTGACTATGTTTGTTCTTTAAATTTAAAACTTATTTTTTTACGAAAAAACATTTTGGTAAGCCCTACGTTATATTATATAGTATACTTAGAAAAAGTTTTTCTCAGCAAAAAAAATTATTCCAATAAATCTGAAAAAGTATCCATGCTCAAGTCTGAATTAACGAATAGTGATAACAATTCTTGTAACTCGGATTTTCAACTGAGTTTATAAATCCACATAATAAATTGTTTCGATGGCTGAAAAATGCAGGATTCTTGTGTTTTAACTGACTGAGTGATATAACATCGATGAATATTAAAAAAAAGACTTTTGCAAAACAAGAATCTTATTAGTGGTAAAAAAAAGTTAAAACTATTTTGACTTGTGTCCTGGTGTCAGTGAACAAGAGCTTTTTGAAAAAAATTTAAAAAAAAAACGGAGAAACTTGGTAACATTTGTTTTTTTTTTTTTTTTTTTTTTTTTTTTTTAATTACATTGTTTTCAGCACTGTCCCGCGGAGTTTCATCCTCCTCGAACCAAATAGACTGTGGAAACAAGATATGAGAAAACTGTCAGTCAGTCAATGGATTTCGTAATAAGAAATAAGTAAAAAAAAAAAAAAGATAAATCATGTATAAACTGTACGTAGATATAATAACCTTCTTTTGTAAACGTTTGTGTACATAATCTGTAATGTCTATTGGGATTAACTCTCATTTCTTAACATTTCCTATATGATTGCTCAACTTACACTTTTAAGGTAAAATTGTATAAATTAAAGTTTATATACTAGTATTGTTCGTGCATTCTGGAAAAAATTGTACAAATTTGGAGCTTATAAATATTTTGTCCTAAACTTTTGCAACTCTCTATAATTTATTTTTAATACCAATAATCGTTGAGCGATACATTGTAATAATGCAACATCAATAGACGTTCACAGTCTTCACTATTGTCAATAAAATTCTATTTTATCACGAAAATAATATTATGTAGTCTCATCAAGCTAAGAATACATGAATAAGGAGTGTGCGGGTACCTAAAAAAATCGAGTTCTTTACCAAGTACGAGTCGAGTCCTCAGATTTTTAAAGCATCGAGCTTCTTGCTTGATTTTTTTTTTTTGCACTATCATATCGAACCGAACTACGTGAAAGTATGAAAAAACTTGCATTTTCTCGATTGCAATTGAAATCTATTTTAATAAAACCATTTTTCACTTGCGAAACCACGACTCTTGTATCTAAATTGTTAAATTCCTCGTGACTCATACAATGTTGAGCAACTCTGCTCAGCCATATGAAACTATTCGAATCTTAGAAGATTGAAAAGCTCGAAAAAGCTTAGAAACTCGATCTGAGATACCCCGAGTACCCGGCACACCCAAAAACTCACTGTGCCATTCGCAAAATAATCACAAATTCTCTCCCATGTTCTTAATAGAAAAAAAAAGCCCACCAACCTGGAGACTCGTGTAGCTCGCGTAGTTCTTCTTGCCACCAAATCTGAAGCCCCGCTCGCTCTCGTGGACGTGCCGATGTCTGAGCAGTAGTGCCCGCATGACCACAGTCTTGTCCTCGGGTAGGATCAACTCTTCGATGACCATTTGCTCGACCACCCGGTAAGCCACGCCTGGCAAGTCTTTTTCCTCGAGGTCGAGCAGTACGACGCCGGTCTCGAGGCACCGGCGCAAGTTCAGCAGCGAGTGGAAACTTAACGAGGCCACGTGCGGCTGGCCCCATCTGCAATCATCACGTAATCAGACCAAAGGGCCATTTTTTTATAGACTTTTATACAATTCAAAATAACAATGGTCCCTCAAAATCTAATGCATTTTTTTTCATCACTCTTATTAACATCCAATACTAAATTTAAAATTTTCAAGCTAAAGCGAAGCAATTTATTTTTCAAAAAAAATTATCAAATAGTACTTCAATTACCATAAACAAATTCTTTTTTTCCAATACTTTGGTACCTTTTTTTTCATTTTAAAATATAATTAACTGCATTATTTTGTTAGAGATAAATTTTTCAAGTATACCTTGGTGAGAAAAAAGTTTTTCACCCTTTGTAATTCATTATCGGTATTTTCGTGAGAGAATAATAACAAGCATTTGATAAAGTATCCGTAATCCAATGAAATATGCAGTAAAATATACTAAAAAAAAAAAAAGTATGTATTTTTGGTAATATACCCACTGAACTCCCTGTATTGTACGTGCTGCTAGATGCATTTCGATTTAAAACTGTCCACAGATGTAAATCTAATCTTATAATGACGAACTCGAAAATCGTATAAAATTAATGAAGTTATAAAATCATGTTAGAATGCTTCAATACTTATATTTGACATTCGTATTCCAAACTTAGTTAGAAGTGGGTTAGCAGCCCCCAAAAACGTCAAGTGAACCCTTTTCTGCCGTCAAAACGAACGAGACACTTGCCTGTCGGCGCCTTCCTGGACGTCCTCCTCGTACTTGATCCATCGCGCGGTCTCCCGCCACTCGCTGTTCTCTCCGACCCCGTACAACTCGTCCAGCTGAACAAAGACCTCGTGGGGCGAGTGGTCGTACATCTTCCGGAAGGTCTCGGGTGGCAACAATCCGCCCCCGAGGCGCCTGCCGATCTGTATGATCGAGTAGCTCGTCTTGGGCCTCCTCATGCCCCGGGGGTCGTCGCTCCTGTGGGACTCGAGGTCGTCGATGTCCAGCTCCTGGAGGGTCTTGGCCTCGTCCGGCTGGACGCTCACTCGGCGCCCGGCAGCCGGGCCAACAAACTCGCCCGGCAGACCGGCTCCCGAGCGCTTGCGCCATTGCGGGTCCTCTTGGAGCGAGAGCTTCCGGGACTTTTTGTGCCTGTGGTGCTGGTGGTGGTGATTGTGGCGTCTGTGGGCGAGTAAGGGGTATCGTTATTACTTTTAGGCCATGTGTGTTTGGATGGAGGTTCTCCATTGTTTGATCGGTAGTTTCGATGAATCGCATGAGTATAAAAGCTATCCTTGATTCGTTTTGTCCTTACATAGATCGATTGAAAAATCAATACCGATTGGCCAAAGTTTGGTCTTTTGCCCTACACATGTGATTATCAGATGAATACATTGAGCATTTGATGAGCTGATTAAGCCCGATTATTTATGTTGATTTCATAAAGTCTACTTTCTGAATTTAATCGAGTGAGAATAGAGTCACCCAAAATCAGAATAAAACTCCCCTTTTACAGAGAATGTCGTATCAATAAAAAGAAAAAAAAAATTGTATCTTTAGTTTGAGCTCTTGAAAAAAATGGTACTACTTTTCACTTAATTTAAATAGAGAACCAATGACTTTTTCACCATAAATTTCAACACAAAATCACCAAAAAAACGCTAACCACCAAAACTAAGTACGCAACATCCGTACGAGGAAATTTCTCTTTGTGAAAAATTTCCTTCCTAAATCCCGTACAAAAGAACCCAGAGCCGTGTAGTTTCGGGCCAAGCTATACCTATACACACTTTACCAATCATTTTCAATCGTCTCTTGGCACACGAGTGCTCTCCTCCTCTCTCTCTCTCTCTCTCGAGAACGAAACGTGCACACCCGAGATCGGACGAATTGGCAAAGGCTCTTTGTCTCCTTACGCGCTCGCGCACGTAGTCTACACAAGCGACTTTGAAAATGACCCCCCTCCGCCTTCCCAAACTTAAATTTACCGAATACGCGATTATCGTCACACACTATTGTTACAAAGTACCCCGGATTGGTACGCAAGTACGGACAGATCATTCGACAAGCAAACGCATATAAGTAGTGCTCAGGGGGGTGACCACGATCGGTGAGGTTCAATGTCACTCGTATGACTGGCGTGACGCGCCGATTTCATAACCGATCGCCCCGTGGCATCGCTCGACTCGATAATCGTTAAATTTAACGGTACGCGCTGCTACCGATCACACACGATACTCGTTTTTTTATCCTCCGTGGCAGTGAAAAATTTCCCGCATAAGTATGGAGCACACAAATGACACATTTTACGAATCAACTGCTGCACTTGTTTACCCAATCGCACCACAATTAGGCTCTTTTGGCCAGAACACTGAACTTTGCTAACTGTGAGCAGCTATATCCGTCGAAAAAAGCCACACTATTCCCCAAACTTCCCCAAACTTGACGCACAAAAAAAAAAAAAAAAAAATAGAGTCCCTATCAGTTCACACAGACCAAATCCACGAACAAAAAAAAGATAAAAAAGTAGGAAACACCATGGCGATGAATGGCAATCGTATGTGTACCGTTGGCGAATGTCGCCGATCCGAGGGACCGGTGGTTCGTAGCCCACGGGCATGGCAGCCCGGAAAGAGAGAGAGGCGGCGATCAGCCGCAAGCACAAGCTCGATCCTTGACAATGACAGCTGTGCGCGGCAAACGCGACGGAGGAACCCGGGACACGCAAACGAGACCTGGCAGTCGACCCGAATATTATTGTCGCGAGCTGGTGCACCACTCGGCAGTGTACTTTATACCACGAGCGCACACACGTATAGACCGACTCTGTTATTTGTATTCTCGTTTTCTTTCGTGCTTGAAAATAGAGGTAATTGATTCGAGTGCGATGTGGGGTTGTGCAGTTGCAGAGGGGTGGTGGGTAGTGGGTGTAGGGTGAAATCACCGTAACCGGAACGATTTAACAAAATTTCATAGCAGTGATTTCTACAACACAACATTGGTATTCTCTTTCAAAATTTATCGATTTTAAGGTTTTATGAAATGCTTCAGAATTTTTCAACTCGTATTTGGATTTTTTGTCGATCCGTTTCGGTTATTGGTTTTTTTTATTAGTTAATGGTAATTATTTGTATACAAAAGTAAAACGCTTAAAAAGTACCTACAATTTATAATACATCCATATCACGTGAAGTTCGTTTAGTATCCATTTCTAGTTATAAAATATTGAGCAGTAAAAAAAGTCAGGATTTCGTTTTTAACTTTTAGTGTTATGAAAAAAAATCGCTCATTATTATTATCATCTACGATTCGGACGTAAGTACCATGTTGTTGTCAGAAAAATTTCTTTTATGGAATTTGTACGAACTGTTACTCAAAATCATTTGAAACATAGGAGTAATATACATTATCCAACAAAAATAATGTAATTTCATTAAAAGACGAATTCTACGTGTTGAAATATTATGAGTGGACGTAGAAAAATAATACATTATCGAGCAATAATTGCAGTAAAAGGCGAATTTCACGTGTCAAAATATCATAAGTGTTGGATAGTATTGCGTTGATAAATAATCTTCCTTCAATTTCGTTCATTCCGACGTATCTTTTGATTATTGCTTCTCCGATCTTAAATCAATAGTTATTGGAAACTTTGATGTATTAAAATGTCCGAAACATAATCGTATCGCGTGAATTACTCGAAGCACTTACACGCCCGTATAGTTCATAGACTGACAGTGTTATCGATCAGGTGGAGTTATTGCACCAATCGCAGGTCAAGGCTGCGGGCAAAAGAAGCCGAGGAAGCGGAAGTAACGACAATAGTCGTATAGCGATTGATTCCAAGGATTTGGGACAAACGAATTTTGTTCTTTGCGACGATTTGTCCTTCCGTAAGTACGGGCTCCTTTAACGTGGAGTGAAGTGTTTATCTCGCTACTCGCGGCCTTGGTATTCATATCAAGAAGTGAGTTCGATAATATGCGATTTTTTACGTTTTGCAGATACATTCGAGTGTGACAACGATGGATGAGAATAAAAGGATGCATTTGGATGCTGGAGACGGGCGATGTCCTTTGTTGTTTGTATTTTCTATTGTAAAAAATCAAGATGTAGATCAATGAAATCACGATGAAGAAGTCAACTATTGTTTTTTTATGTTTTACATCTAATGAACAAGGCTATTGTTTTTATATCAGAGTTATGAGTTGATAAATAAATCTTAAGTCTCCATGACAATAGTTTTTTTCTCCGTTGCCTCGATTACTTTGTAATTTCTCAAGAAAGCTTTGAGCTGCTCAGTATAATACATTTACACTGTAAATCCAAGTGGATAAGAATTTGAAGAACTACCAAATCTACGGTACATCCAGTGGTTTGGACGAAAAAAAAAAAAAA